ATAAAGATTTATAAAAAAAATTGTCAATAAAGTGGTATTATCCACAACTGGGACACAGCACACATACACACATAAATAAATATTCCCATTTTTCAATACAATTTTTGATAACCCTTAAATCTTTTTAGCTATTTAAATTTGAATTGTTTACTGAACCTAAAAAGCGTAAACCTTTGTTATTAATTTTTTCATCAAATGGAGCTTTTATCATAAGCCTTATAATAATGGTGATTTTACCCTTATAAACATTTTAAAATCAATATCTGTGCCTGCCTTATGTCAATTAAGCCCACTTTGTTGGCCCAAATTAAACAACTAAAAGTTTTAACCGGGTCATGCCAGTTTCCAGTTTCAAGCCCGCCCCGAAGGAAACAGGCAGTCAGACAGGTCAGCTCCCTTAACTTACTATAAAGCTGCACTGAACTGAACCGACGCAGCACTCACTTATGCATGTGGATAACCCCTTTCTTGGCTTCACCCCCTCTTCTCCACTTCGGGGACTTGCATATTTAAAAGTCGAACTCACGCAAAGGCAATTTACCGTTTACGGTTCATGGCATCTCCCCCACCGCCAACATCGCACCTTTCGAAACACTACACGGAGCAAAATTATTGGTATTATCATTCACCTATTTTACATGGTAACTGTACATGTAAATGATTAGTTTAAGTACACTTTTAATACAAAATCTGAAAAAAAAGATTACAGCGAATTTTATTTATACATTTCTATGGTTTATGGTTTATTATTACGTATTTCTTATATACACGCACATAGATATTGTATATTTTTTATAATTCTCATTATATTCTTATACAAAAGCTTAATCTATTAATTTTATAACGTTAAGAAATGTTTTGCAGATTCCTGATGAGCGGTAACGCCATTAAAAATATGTATAAACAGTTTAGAAAGTAAAAGTATTTGTTCTCTCTGTATAGACCCAACGAAAAGCAATGCAAAGCGTAAAAACAAAAACAAAAAGAAGGCAAACCGAGCAAAACCGAAATTCAAAGGCAGTCCAAAACCGATAGTTAAACCAATTAGCATGTTCTTGTTTGCTCACCTCAACAAAAAAGTGGAAGGGGATGTCGTCAGGGGAGAGGTCAGGGGGAGGGAATCTTCACACACACTTAACTCACACCTACGCTAGGTGTTTGTTTTGAACGGAACTTTGAAACTTTGGCCGCACCCTTGGCCACCAAGAAATGCAGCTGTTAACCATAACCGGTTGCAGGTTATATTTTATTTATGTTATAGAGCTTACCCGTTTCGGTAATCTTTGGGATGCATCAGTTGAACTTTTTATATAGGGGAGAATAAAGGTGAGGGGAAAGGGAGAAGTCACAAAGTTGGGGAGGCAGCTGAGAATTGTTTTATTTTTTATTATGATGAACAATTTAGGGGTTATGTATATCAGATAGGGAAAGAGGTTTGTGTAATATGTAAAGTATTTAATTGGGTGTTATTCAAATCTTATTTTTAAAAGGGAAAGGTTACTTTGATATGAAAATATAGTTATTATGTTTTAAATTATAAATTTTTCCTAAAAACTTATATATAAGTACAAGTGAGACTAGAATTTTTAAATTTTCTTTGGTTCAAGGAAATAGTACAATTTTAAATTAAATTTTTAAAGATACAAAGTAAATGGATTTTTATTTTTGTTACAGAGTATTACAGAATCGCTTTTATCCCTGTTCCAAAATCCCCTCACACCTTAACCCGTTTTCGCGCCATATTTTTAACTATCCGGTAACCGATTTGCATATCTTTATGGCGGACATGATGTGCTGTTTGACATTGGGGGAAGCTGACTTCACAACAAAATCCGATATCGCGGTGATCGGAGATACGACAATGTTACAAAGCAAATATCACCCCAACACCCACAAGTCCATGACGACCAACACGCCCTCTGGCGGCAGTAGTTGGCGGTTGTGACTGCAATGCGATTTTACCCGCTTTTGACACATTTACACATTTGGTTTTCCCATTCGGCTCTCGGCTCTTTCATCAGGCTTTTCACACGACTCGGCTGCGCGTTTCCTCGCTTTCCACCACTTGGCGCCTGTTTTCCCCATTTTTGTACACTTGAATTAAGTTAAAAAATGGAGCTATCTATTTTAAAAAATGGAATTAAAGTTAATTGAAAACAAAAATAATCTGTAATTTACCAGTTTAGTTTATTCCTATTAAAATAATATATTTTCATTAACAAAAATTAATATTTTTTCAAAAGTTTCACTAAACTATTTGTAATAGCATAAGATGAATATACATAATGTCATGTTCCTAAAAAAATATTCTATAACAAATAACATCGTGATAACTTTAAATACTTTTCTCTGTGTAGCTTTTTCAGGCGCGTTTCATTTCACTGCTGCATACCGCCCATTCTAGGCCCTCTTTCAACACTCTCCTCCATTCTTCACTCATTCAGCGCGCTTTGCGGTCGGTTATTATTGTTATTCAAGCGTACCCAGCATACATATATGAGTGAAAAACAAAGAGGAAAGCGGCAACAAATCGCCAAGGAGGAAGATGAAAAAGTTTGAAAAACAAAAACCGCATTAAAGGTTCATTTGGCTGTCGCTTTGTTTGCCTTTTGCAGTCGCGTAGGTTAAACAGTGTGGCTGAGACGCTCAGATACTCGACCATTCAGATACTCAGATACAAAGATACGAACGGGCCAGTCGGCAGCCGTTGACCTAGATACAAATTGGCACTCGTTGGCGATGTAAGCGTGACACGAGATATTTCTAATAATATATATAACATTAAGGCTTTCATTTTTTAATGTTCTTGGAAACAAAAAAAATCATACTTTCAAAATGTAAGTTCAACAATTAATTTTTTTAATTTCTAAACAACGATAAAAAGCACTTATTGCCATGCCAAAATATTTCCAAATTGCCGAAGCTAATAAATATCACTACTAATAAAATTAATCTCTTAACAACTTAGTATTCAAATCACTGATATTGCATCAGAAGGCACGTACCATCGCCAGATTCCTTTTTCCAAGCTTTTCTTTAAAGACTTTGATGGTTCCGTCTGTCTGTCTATCCATTTGTTATTGCGTTGCGTTGCGTTGGTTTAGTTTTTGCTGCAGCACTTTTGCCACTTCATCGCCGGATCTTTGGGAACTGGAACTGAAACAACTGAAACGACTTTAACTGGTGCTCTGGCGACCAAAGTGAAATTATTTTGATTCGCTCTTGATGAATCAGCTTTGGCTTCGATTGGGAGCCACTTCAATGTTGGTGGCCCCATCCTATCGCCTTTAAAACCGCTCAAAACCCCTGTCATTAAAAGAAATGTTAAGAAATGATTTGAAACGAGCGGAAAATGGAAAGCACTTCGAGACGCTTTAATGCCATCAAGCGATCAACTTCAATGGCTTTTACACCCATTAAATGTTGGCTAAGCAATGACAATTTTAAATTTACCCTCACACATTATCTACTAAGTTCTGAGTTGATATTAGACAGAGAATTCCCCTCTATAAGCTGACCTATATATAAAGTGCCTAGATAAAATTAAACGACATCACGTAGCCTAAGAATTTATTATTATGCTGTTTGTTTATTTGTGGCTCTCTTCGTTTTTATTTCATTTATTTGCCTAATCCAATAAGCGTTTCTAAGGTGTTTAAGCTATGTTTTCTAACAAGACTTTTGTACTCTCTTATTTAGTAAACAATGTTCTTGATTAACCCTTGTTTAATAATTTTTCGTAAGGGTATATCTATCACTCACACAAGCCATCACAAATTTGACACGGCTTCCAAACACTCAAAAAAACAAGAAATGAATAAAAACTGAGTCAATCGTGCGGGGGCAGCAACCTCCAAAGCCAAATAAGTTCAACATTTGCGGCTATTTAAATTTTAGCTTTGAGCGTCAAGCTATCGCCTTTTGCGACTCGGGGTAAAAATAGTTTATAATGCTGATTTTTAATAAAATGTCAGTCAGTCATGGTCTCATTATTTTCTGTATGCGTCGTGACAAATTGGATTCTGTTTGGGATGCTGATGTTGATGATTAAATGTGTTTATGGGAAGTCTCTAAAGATTATTTTAATGGAAATTGAAAGTTCATGCTCAAACTTAATATTATTGCATGAAAACGCTTTAGAGAAGAAGTGAATGCTTTATTTTCAATTATGATTGAGGATTTCATTGAGATGTTAAGCGATTAATCTTATTGAAATTTAATCAGTAAGGAATAATACTTTTTACGAGGCTTACAGATATCAAATACTGAAATTAATTATTACGTTAGAAGTGCAAGAATTTTAAAATCTATAGTAAGCCGAACAAAAAAATTTTTCTCCACAATCGATATCACACTTCTGCCAAACAAAGTCGAGCTTCCACCATAATTGTTGGGTGCTTCCACTGTTCAGAAGATTACTCATGAACTGCTTATTTTGATAATTATGGGGTGGCACTGGATGACTCCATTCAAAGCTAAGATCTAAGTTATGGTCCGGGAAAAATCAGCTTTGCCAGAGTCCCAAGTACTCAGTGACCCATATGTACAACAGATTGTTTGATTGATGGATGGATGTGGAATCACGATCCGTGATTCGTCATCGCCCACGACAGAAATTGTTATTCCCGTTCGGTACATGGAGTGTCATGTAACTTTTACTTTTTGAGCGGCATCGCCAAGCCAAAAACGGGAAAAGAAAAAGCCGAATGTCACGTTTCAGAAGAGGGGGTTAATATGGATGGATGTTAGAGTAGGTTAAATGTTGCGCAACCCGATACAATTGTAAATATTTGCACAAACATGACATGTTTGTATGCCCATAATTGGGTAACTCGCACTGCGACTCATTTTTGCTTGAGTACTGTTATCTTTCAAGAATTTCTCGATATTAAGAGAATTATGGGCTTAGTAATTTGTAAATAAATAGGTGACACCTTTATAGTTTTAGACTAAAGACATATAAACAAAGATAATAATTAAGCCCAAATTTATAATTTCAGTCTGTGCAATAGTTGAATACGAATATGCGGCCAAGGAGCCGGACGAGCTGGATCTCCAGAAAGGTGCCATTATCCATCGGATCAAGCAGATGCCCGGCGGCTGGTGGCAGGGCACTTTAAAGTCCTCCGGAGCCACGGGAATGTTTCCGGATAATTTCGTCCGGGTGCTGGACTCCGGCATCAGCAGTAATGGCAACGGAACCACCGGAAGTGGGGACCACATTGACGAAGGAATTGCTGTGCAGCTGAGGTTCGTCCATTTGAATGACGCAATATTGAAAATTACATTAAAAATCGCCTTACCCAAAAACCAGGGAAAAATCCGCGACATCGAATCGCCGCTGCAAAGTCATCTATAGTTACACACAAGTCAACGACGACGAACTGACGCTGGCCGTGGGTGATGTCATTGAATTCCTAGGGGAGGTGCGTACCAGGGTCACAGGGGGTGTGATGGGTGGTTTCTACCCCCATTTAACCTACTGGGCCAATAGAAATTGAAATTCGTTTTGCACTGGGAGAAAAAAAAACGAAGACCGAGATAGGTTGTTTTTAAATATGAGTTTAAAAATTTGATTGCATAATATTTTCTAAGCCTTTAACTATATTACCCAGAAAACAAAAATTAAATAAAATAATTGTTGACAAACCATTAAAAATGATTAAAATGTTTGTTATATTTGTTCGTTGATTTTTTAAAAATCAAATTTTAATGTTTAACAATGTTTTATTATTGAAAAAAATTAAAAACAGGAAGTCATAAATTGTGTAAAAAAAAGAGTATATTTTTAATTCATCGAAATCAATTAATTACAACACATTATTATTTCTTTATTGAAATTTCAATTTACATACATTTTCTTATTTAACATTATCTTACGTTTAATTTTTGGCCATTTTGGCTATCTTAAGAACTTTTTTATATTTCTCTCTGTGCAGTACAATCGGTTCAGTCTGTTCATTTCACTCAATGCTGTTTCACTCTACTTTTTCATTTAGGTCGAGGAAGGCTGGTGGCGCGGTCGTCTGCGCAGCAAAGTCGGCGTCTTCCCATCGAACTTTGTGCAACATATCGAGCCGTCGCCCATTTTGGCCTCCAAGCGGCCGCCGACAATTGGCGCCACGGTGACCACATCGTCGCTGACGTCCAAGGCGGCAAATGTGACGGCTAGCGCCACATCCACAACAACTGGAGGTGGAGTAGGAGGAGGAACCACTGGCACCGCCTCCACAATAAAACAAACAACTAAGGGCAGAGCCATTCCACCGGAACCAGGATCGGTGGTGGGATCTGTACCGGGATCGGGATCGGGATCGGGAGGACCGGCAGCAGCAGGACCACAGATAGTGCCCATGTTACCCCCGAAGCCACAGAGGGAATTCTGCCGGGTGGAGTTCCCATACGCCCCGCAAAACGACGATGAACTGGAACTCAAAGTAGACGACATAATCACAGTGATCACCACCGAATTGCCCGACAAAGGATGGTGGAAAGGAGAAATCCGTGGCAAAGTGGGCGTTTTTCCCGACAATTTCGTCAAGATGCTGGCACCCTCGGAAGGTGAGTTTTCACCCGGGATTTTCCGCCGGTTTTCTCTCACAAATCACATATCGCATTTTGATTTCGGTCTGTCAAGTTTGTTGTCATCAAAAGCCTCCACCTTTCATCAATGCATTTTTCCTCCTCTTAATTGGAGGCAATTTTCCAAACGCATCGGCTGTGTAAGCCTCAAGTCGTTAGACTTCGAAATTGCTGTCGTGACGTAGCCATCATCCATGGCCGGGGATCAAAGGCAATAAACGTTTGTTTGATTGGTAATTGAATTAATTAAAAGAAAAGACACAAAGCCACTCCCTCCCCGTTTTCCTCACTCGCTGCATATCTTTTGGATCGTTGGTTTTCATCGGCTGTGCAAAATTTGTAGATGACTTAATTGCCGCCAGCGAATATGAATCAGATAACTTTTATCACTGATGCGTAATGGATGTATATTTAACCAGGGATTTGTGTACGAAGCTTTTTTTGTGGGCGCGACGCAAATTGCCTGAATAATGGTTGATTTTAAAAACTTTCGACAAGCTTTTGAATTGTAAATAATTAGTGAAACTTTGTATGCCGAAAATGTTAGTATTGCATATTAGTAAAGGAAAACAGTGGTGCTTAATTTTGGTAAACAAGCTTTTGAATTGTGAATAAATAGGAATAAATGGTAATTATTTTTGGTAAACAGATTTCTTTATAATCAGCTATAAAATTTTTATATCAATCTATTCTAGAAACTGGCTTTAATTTATTTTTATTGGCTTAAATTCACACAAAAGTCTTTGACTGACTTGTGTAATATCGTGTAAGCTGGCTTTTCACATATAGCGAGTATAAATATCTAGTTCCATAGCGCTTAAAGACAGTAGCAAATGGGATAAAGTGTTAGATACACATAGACTTATCAATTATATGGCTAGTTTTCCCAATTAATCGCTCGCACTTCAGCTACATCACATCCATAACACGCAGCTCACGCACCACGCACTTTTCAATTGAACCATTCCAATATCTTTCGGTTAAACCATGTCTTCAAGTCCAATTTCCCAGTTTTTATGACTCGCTTTTCGTTTTAAGACTTTTTTATGGGAAATTTTGATTACTTTTTGCTATCTTTCTATCTGTACCTCTTTCTCTTGTGTTTTTTTTTTTCGTATCCACTCACATATTTTGTATATTATGACTTCATGTTAGTTAGTATCTCTCTCTGTAATTTTTCCTCAACACTTTTCTCTTCTCCCATTTTCTTCTACTTGAACTTCTCTTTTTACAACGATTTTCTACGATTTTTGGTGTCTAATAATGAAACCAATAAACTACACGAAACACACACAAAACACTGCAAAATACACAAAAACTGAAATAAACTGGTGTGAAATGTAGCGGCTCCACCGCCGCCGCGCCCACGTGCCCGCGCTAGAAGCGGAATGGGAGCCGGATCCGGGTCCGGGTCCGGAGTTGCACCCGGAGTAATAGAAGGGTCCGCAGTCCGTATTCCTCGACGGACGCAGCGCGGTGGCTCTTTCGAGTTCTTGGGCGCGCGTATGGCCAGCTTTATCACCACGATTTGTATGTAAACGAGTTTTTCCAGTAGGCAAGGCAGCAGCAGCAGCCTAAGTGCACCTCCCAGTTTTCCTCCCTCCTCAATTTCCTCTCGGCTCTTGACTTTTCTTGTTTTCCTTTATTTCGATTTTGTTTTTCGTCCACTTTTCATTTTCATTTCTGTGGCGGCTTGGTTTGGTGCGTCCCTAAGGCGTTTTTGATATGAAATGGAAAATTGCTCGACTCCGAACGACCCTCTTCCTGTTGCTGATTCTCTTTCTTTGCTCATAATTTCTATGATTTATGTTTTGCTTAGCTGGGTACTTTAGGGTATATTGATGAGTGGTTTGTATTGGAATTTTTACAGATTTTAAAGAAACTACCTCTGTTTCAAAAATATTTATGCCATTAAAAAACAATAACGAATGTCATATCTATTCACTTTTATGAAAACTTTTAATAATGTTTTTCCTAAGAAATACTTTGATAAAATCGTTATAAATAATCATTCATCATATTTTATTTTGATTCATGTTTTAATAAAATGCTTACATGCTGTCATCCATTATTTTAACATATAATAAAAAAAATGTTTAAATAATAAATTATGGAATAGGGTAACCATTATTTTGTATGATATAATCTTTGTTTTTTTTTGTCTACTTCTCTAATCTTCCACTGCATTGCTTTTTTTATTTGGTTTTCTTTGGCTCTCACAATACCAGAGGCGTATAAAAGAGGAGGATGCATTGAGGGGGTGGGCGTGGCAGGAGTGGCAGGGCGACTTTGTCGAGGCTGGAGGCAGACCGCAACCAAATCAAAGTGCTTTATTTACGATCGGTTTTTCTTTTCAATTTGCGGTGCATGTTTGTTTTGTCATTTGCATGGGTGACCGAAAAACTTGTTTTTTTTGTTTGTGCGCTTTTCTCGCTTTGTTTGGGCGTAAAATAGTTTTCCCCACATCGTTCGAACGTCTGGCAATTTGTTGTTTGGGAAAAGTTGAAATATTATACTTAATTAACGCAAATTATATCGCAGCATACTTTGCGGTTGCCAGTGGAATTCCAGTGCTGGTTTTGAGTTTTGCAAAATTTATGCTTGGCATTTAGTTTTTGCTTTGGCTTTTGGTTTTGTCAACGTCGCAGTATTTTTTCAACCACCTTCGACACTTGAGCGGCAGCAACATCATTAAAATAAACAACAGTTGCCTGTAACTGGTTTTGTGTGCTACGTTTTTTGTTTTTTTGTTTTACGTGGCTCTTTTGCGGTTGGTAACTCTTTATTTTTCTCTCTCTTACCTGGCGTTCTCTTTGATCATCGCAGGTGATCATCATGATCATCTTCATTAGCGGGGTTTATCTGGGATTCCCCCCCTTTTAAGGGGCCAAGCCCCTTTTGTTTAAGTTTATCAACAAAGTTGCCAGAGAGCCTAGAGCTGAACCAAAAAAAATAATAATCATTCGGCTCTCAACATTTTTGTTTCGTACCTTTGCCAGCGTTTTTGTTTACCTTTTAGCCAAGTCAGTACGCTTTGATTTCTTGACCATTTACGTTATTGAAATATTTTTGTCGGCGCGGCGGAAAAAAGAAGAAGTAATTTTCCTTGGCTTTCTGTGATGCGTGTGCTACAGTTACCGTTCTTGCGGCTTTCTTTATTGCTTATTTTTACCCAGTTTGTCTGCAATTGCATTCGTCATATTTTTTCTGCCACATGGCTAAGTAGTTTTCTTGAGATCGATTTAAGACGGGGAAAAACGGTTTGGGCGCGCGCTTTTCTAATTATGGTTTATGTGTCAGTCAGGTGTAAATTAATGATTATAATTTGCTGCGTGTCTCGGATTCAAAGTAATCATTAAGTCGCGTTCGTTGCTTAAGTCTTTCGTTTTCCAGTGTTAAAGTGTGCATGTTAATGCGTATGTTGTGTGTGTGACTTGCCGTTGGCAACAAATCCAAAAACACAAAAAATAAAACCACAACAGCCATCATCATAATAATGACAATCACCCAACGCTCAATTACTCAATGCTAAAAAATATCAAATTCGCGCTGCTCTTCATTTTTATTGCAAGTTTCGCTTTATTTTGCTTGCCATATTTTCTGCGCTGTTTTGTCATTAAAAGCAGTGAAAGTCGTTGGGCAGAGTGCTTTTCTTTTCGACCAGCATTATTAGAAATTCGACCATGACAAAGCCAATTCTTTGCCTGGCTTCCAATCCTAAACTTCGGTTTTTGTCTGGGTACATCGGCTTGTCCGTGGGAATCAAAAGATTGATGGGGTGTGTCTAAATTTGGCCATACTTGAGCTTAAATTTTGAAATAAACGCTAATAAAAATTGAGTGGCTGATATATGAGATATGACATCACCAGAACAAGTCAGATTATAATTAGAGATTGCTTCAGTGAATCTTTATTGAGTATTTGCTTTAACTTACCGCTCATGAAATGCATAACTTAGGTAATTTTGATTATGGCTAAAGAATTGTGAATTTATAAAATGTTTAAAATGAGTATGACAAAATATTATTTGGCATGAGTTACCTATTTTACTAGTTTGCTATTATTCTACGTTGATGTTAAATCACAATGTATTTAAATTGATTATAAACATGCTATTGATTTTTTTTAAACTAAAATTACTTGTTAACAATTTTACATTAAGCATTAAAATTCAAATAAATCAGTTAAATATAATCGCTGGGAATTATATATTAAACTTACTTTGACTCCAGTATTATTTTAATATTCGTAAAAATTAATATTATAGCATTTGATATCATCAGAGCACACATTATAAAGGGCATTTCCAGTTCGTTGCCTGATCTTTAGATTGCTGTTTCCTGTTGGCTATTGCCATTTCTTTGGTCTGACCTTTACACATTTTAAGTTGTTACTCAATAGTTTTCGTTGGCTTTTAGTTTTGCTTTGGTTTGGTTTGGTTTGACTTTGCTTTTGTCATCACAGCCATTTATTGGCGTTTATTTATGCCCGTCAGTTGTCGTTTGCAGCTTGCCGTCCATCGTTGCTCCTACGCCATAGATTCAGCTTTTCAACCTTAGCGTTTTTGGTTTGGTTTTCGTTTGTTTTTGCTATTGTACAAGTATTTCCCTGAGCGTTTCCACATTAGTTTTATTGACATTTGGCAGCAAGTTGTCGGCACGAAACCAGTTTCAAGTTGTTTCTGTGCTCAGCTGTTCTGACCGGAATGGTTAGTCATTGACTGCCATATCTTGAACGCGAATTGTTTAATTGCAGTGGATATCGGTTTAAAGATACAATAAAATTCGAAAAATGGTGACCTTACCAAAAAAGAATTTGTTAGAGCTTATATTAAACAATTACTTAAATAAATAAAAGCTTAAAATTAAAATAAATTTATCCAAGTTTTAAAAATATTTTTTGCCGTTACTAAATAAAAATAAAAATAAAAAATAAAGATAATATATTAGTTCTTCCAAAAACATTGAAAAGCAAAATAAATGTATTTTATAATATAAAGCATGCTGCTTTAAAGAACCCACTTACATTATTTTCTGACTTAATACAGCGCTTTTGCGATTTATTATCATGACTCCAGTGCTTCTTAACCGATCTCTACTGTTGGTAAATACAATCGAATGTTTGCATGTCCCTTTACAGGTTCTCATTGTGTCCACCTTATCTAATCTCAGACCTATGCTTACCGATTTTCCAGTTGCCCCAATCAACGAGCCATCAGCCACTGCTCAGCCGCAGAGAAAGATCAGCAACACTGCCAGCACCACCAGCCACATGACCACAACGAACTCGAGCAACTCCAGCACCACTTCGGTGACCACGCAGCAGCAGAAGGAGCAGATCGGATCGACCACCTCGAAGGTGTACATCAAGAAGACCGGAAGCAGCAGCAACAGCTCCAGCAGCACCACCACAGTTTCCTCGTCAGCGGGTCGCAAGGAGAGCTTTGGGTCCCGTGACTCCCTCAACGATATCCTGAGTGAAACGGGTTTGCCCAGCGGCAATGTGGCTGCCCAGAGGAAATCTCTGGAGAACAAGAACCTGGATCTGACCAAGCCGCCGGGCGTCGGAGCAACTGTGGCCATCAATCAGCAGAGGAGCAGCACCTCCAGTGCCGCCACCAGCTCCTCAGCCACCACAATTTCCACAGGATTGACCTCCTCGTCGGTTAGCAAATCCATGGAGAGCCTGGACGAGAAGGTCAAGTCGCCGCCGCCGGTGCTCAGCAAGAAGCCGAGTGTGCCGCTGAAGAAAACACCCACAGGTGGAGTGCCCGTGACTGGTGAGTACTGTACAGTAGAGCCAAACCATGCATCGCTGAAGACTCGAAGAAAAATGATTATTTATATTTTATTCATTAATGTTTGCATTGAAGTCGTAAAAATTCATACCAAGTGAGTGTTAACAACGCTTTTATTAATTTTTATTAAACCGTAATCGTACAATCAAACATATTCATTTCATCAACATTTAAAGTGAAAACAGAAAACATTACTCATACAGCCATAAATCAAATTAACAAATGCTTGGTAATTTAAAAAAGGATATCCTTCATAAAGAAACCAAGATATAAATACCATAAAAAATTCTTTTAATCAGAAAACATTCATGATAATGACTTCATAGGTTCAACACCTATCTTATCGATTGAAATGCGATGCAGCCATTGCCCCCAAACTAATCATTCACAAAGTTGGGTTCAAGCTGGAAAAAAGGATTTCCCTTTGTAAAAAAACAAAGATAGCGCTAGGAGGTAGATAACGAAATATAACCGAGTATTGTACGAGAAAGTATTTTAACTACTTGATTCAAAAGCGATGCAGCACTGGCCCCTGAATGTCTAAGAAACCATGCTAATATTGTACTTTTTAATCGCAGGTAACCTTCTGGGTGGCAAGAAAAAGAACGCGGAAGGCAAGCTCACCACTGCCGTTTCCCATGACCTGGCGGATGGACTTGCGGCCAGTAAGATGCTCAGCGGTGCAAATCAACTGCCAGAATCCGGGGCAGCTGGCAACCTGGTGATCCGGAGGGCAGCCACCATCGCTGTGGAGGATACGGACTTCGATCGCGTCGAGCGGGCATCGATTCTCACGGATATGCGGCAAGGAAGGGTCAAGGCGCCCAAGCGACGTCCTCCATCGGCGGCTATAAACGTGCTGGGTGAAAGCAATAACAATTCCGTATACGTAAATGGCAGCGGCATGGGCGCAGGATCTGGAGGAGCGGGAAGTGCAAGCGAGCTGAGCGAAGACGGTGGAGCTGGCGGAAAGGGCACGGCGGCCACAGCCTCCTCCGACGATAATTCAACGGGCGAGGAACCACAGTTGGCCAAGCCAAAGCCACGCGAGTGGGAGAAGAAGAAGGCGCCATGGATGGAGGAGCTAAAGGCCTCGCAGGTCACCCGGAAAAAGCCCTCGCCCAGTGTGGAGCCCCGAGGAGCTTCGGTGGCCGAGAGGACCTCCAAACTCTTTGCCGCCGAGCAGGCGATCAGTAGCAGTAGCAGTAGTAGCAGTACCACAACGAAAGTGCAATCTTCCGCGGTGACATCCTCCATGTTTGTGGAGAGCTCAACCAGCAGTTCGGCGGTGACCACCAGCAACACCAGCACCAGCACCACCACCAACGATGCCATCATGTCCCGCAGCCTGACGGCTGCCAAGGCCACAACAGCAGCAGCCAGCAGCGATGAGGAGACGAGAGCCACAAGGCCAAATAGTCTGGCCATTCGCAAACAACGAAGTGTTTCACCTCTGGTCAAGAGCTCCAATGCCAGCAGTTCGCAGTCCCAGGAGGAGAAGCAGCCAAGCAATCAGCTGAATAACCACCAGGATGTCAGTTCCTCACGTGTCAACCAGCTGGAGCAGAGGGTGGATAAGCTGGAAGGACTAGTGCTAAACCAACAGCGAACCATCGAGGAGCTGATAACTGCCCTGAAATCCGAAGCCGAACGCGTCAAGATTTTACGGAGCGAACTGGACAAATACGCGCAGTGCGTGACGCAAGTTTGAGCGTAGTTAAAGTCGTCTTTTAGCTAGCTTATGAGTTCTTGATTTTTAGCGTGTGCTGAACTCTACAATTCCCAGGCCTAAAAAAAAAACGTAGAACGTAGTAGAGTAGACCGAACCCAAGACAATCCCAAATATCTGTACTCTGTGTTCTGTACTTACATACCAGAATGATCTATCCAACTTGCTAGCGAGCAACCGTTTTTGCATGCCAAAACAGTTTTATTTTTCGCTAATTACTTTGTATCCCCCCCTGTATATCTGATAATTTCTATAAGTATTTTTTATACACTCGTACATTCCGAAAAGCTAAAGAGATAGCGACACTGTGTGATTTCTTTTAGCTGCTTTCGATTGCGATTTGTTTTGTTTATACGAGTTATGATTATTTTTTAAAGATGTATTAAAGTTATGAGTAAACTGTACTATAAACTATACTAAACGAGAGAGAGAAAAATATACAAAGTTCGATGGAGTTGATGATGCCTAAAACTTAAGCAATAAATAATGCAAATAAATACTTCAATGTTTTCTGAATGCTTTTTATTTTCTTATTTCGATGTGATTCTGTTTCCCTAATTTTTCTCCAAAGGACTGATATAGATAGATAACGATAGAGAATTCACATATCTAATCTCGGATAATATACTAACCCTTTTGATACAATCTCTTTTTTAAAACAGCAAGCAAACGCGTCGTGGGAAATTCGACAATTGGATGTTTTAATTGATCTGTTTTCGCCTTCAGATCGAACAATCAATAATAATTGTAATCTGCTAGAGATTTGCATCCTAGACCCGCCCGCCTGTACAGAATATACCTTTTTCTTTTGTGATATGCCTCTGCATAACCAGCTATTTGTAGTCTAATCAAATCAATCTGCGTAGCTAGCGACCCGCCATTCCCGATTGTTAGCAAATATGTTGTGGTTTACCTAAAAAAAATATCGCATTTGTACCGCTTAAATTGTAAATATTATTGTAAATTAATATGGGATATAAAATAAAAATTTCATAATTAGTAAAACAAGTGGTTAATCTAGTTTGCATTAGGAAAAGTGAGAGGCTAGTAAGCCTTGGTTTATTTTCAGTTTTATTGGTGGACTTGAAACTATCCATCAATCAAGTGTGGCTTAAAGTTGCACTTGTGTCGTTTTCATCGTTCATAACTGTAAAGTTTTGTGTTTTTATTAAAAACAATTGTTTTTTATTTTATTTTGGAACTGCACTTTTTGAGAATGTCATTTTAAATGAGAAAATAATAAGAAAAAAGGTGATGCGTGGCGTATTTTAGCCTCAAAAGCTCCATAATAAGATCAACAGCGCACATTAAAAACAAAGTTTAAAAACAGCGCCCAGAAAGTGTGCCCGGCCTTTATTCCACAGAAAAACCTGTAGCGTCTGGCAAAAGTGGTAACATCACCGACAATTGACCATTCAAAAGTTGAGCATGGAACCAAACCACGGTAGGGTGTGGGCTTAAAATGCTTTTTTCAATATTATAAAATATAACATCTATGAGCTCACCAAAAAATTGTTTTGTTTCGATTTAAACTCCCAAAAAGAACACAAAAAAAGGAAAGAGCACAGAGATCATAAAAAGCCTCAGGACAGCCAGGTTTTTGTTAAATTTAAAGTCGGAATCTTTAAACATTGATAACATCCTGAAAAAAAAACAAAAGGGTGATGCCGAGCCAAATCATTCACCAATGCCTCCAACCTACAGAGTGAATTCCTTATTATCGCCTGCTAGATAACAAGAAAAGTTAAAAATGCCTTATAGTATGCCACACTTTGTAGGCCCCATTTGTGGCTACAGTGAAAAACAGCGGCAAGGCAGATTAAAATGACCAAAAGACATGAACTAAGCTCGTCTCCTCTCCTCTCAAAACAAGCCATCAAAATGTGCGAATCTTGGCTTGGCGAGCGTAAAGTTAACACGCGAGAACGACTTTCGGGCGCGATCTGTTTGTTGGCTTATTATTGTTTGTTGGCAGCTGTGTTTGCTGTTTATTCTGCAAATCGAGTGGCCTGTCCGCTGTACTTGGGCTTTTTTGCTTTTCGCCTTTCGTGTTTTTGCCTTGGCACTTGGCTGCGTTCTGTGAATGTGGCCGAGTCTTTTGGTTAGAGCCAAGTCGAGTTTGCCGCTCTCCGAGCTTTTCAGCCTGGCTTCTTGGGCGACTTATCAGTTTCTGATCGCTGTGGGAACTCAGTTAATTGTGGACGCTGTAGCCAAACGGACGCAAGCGCGGCGCTCAAGAGACTTTCAGAGGGTTTTCCTAAATAAAAACACTACGTGTTTCTGGTCGTGAAAGTATATTTTGTCAGTTAGGCAGTCTCACTGCAGTGGCCCCACCCTTCTCCCCTCTGGTTTTGAACCGCAAACGAGAGCCTTTTTAAGTCAAAACCACGAGCAACACAGCTGAAAACCAATTTAAGGACCGTTCAAAAAATCAAGGATATATTTTCAAAGACCTCTTTCGACCAAGTCAGTTAAATAATGTGTTTTCAGAGTGTGTAACATTTGTGTGTGTGTATGTGTGCCAGTGTGTGTTTTCCAGTGTGTGCGTCAATCCATCCAAAGTAGTTAAGCCCAAATAAAAACATAATATATTAAAATCGCGAAAAAAAGTAACTTTTGAAAGAGCCATAAACAAATCGCAGTCTACGAAATCCGTTCAAAGCTCGCGCGCCAATATTGCTCCAATTTAAGAAAACGGCTTAGCAACAATTGCATTGAACAGTTGAGCACAAAAAAACTGAAACTGAAACAACAACTACAACACGTAAATATAGAAAGCTTAACAATCAAATCCAACAACAACGACAACGAGGGATTAAAAGCCAGTAACAACTATAAATGTGGTGGGTGCATTATTGGTAAGCTCAGCGGGTTTGGTATAAAAAGTAACGGTTAATAATATGCTACACGGAGAAAAATGTTTAAGTCATTTAATAATTTTGTCTCACCAAATCTTTGTGATTGGTTTTTAACTTAAGTTTACAAATTGCATTTGTAATTGAACTTCATAAAAAAATGTTCTTGAAAAAAGAACAGGATTCATTTCCACTTTTCAAGTTTTTGTATCTTAAGAATTTTTGTTTACTAATAAGAAATGATGACGTATTATATTGAATATTATTTTTATGTGTCATATAAAAACAACGTTGATGCACCTTAAGATTATTGTTCGGTTTATTTGTGTTCCTGTTAATAGCTTGGAATAATAAAAAAATTTTTAATAATTATTTTATACATTTCCATAAAAAAACTATAACTTTTTTTTTATGTGCGCATATAATTTTGATATCTGTATTGATATCTAGATGATCATAACAAATTCTGACTGTGCAGAAATAAAATCACAAAGTGTATATATAGATCGCTTTGTAGCCAAACAGCTAAAATTGGCCAAAACCAAAGCGTTTTTATGCGCAAACGCGTTTTTTATGTTTTAGCATTTTCCTCCCCCCTTTTTGCATTTTTTTGGTCGGTTTTCGTTTGTTTTGCAGACGGCTGGTTACTCAAAGTTTTTGCTGTGGTGTTTTAATTTTTGTTACAGTTTTTTTGTGCATTTTTGGTATATATATTTTTTTGTGGCTGCCTTGCTCAACGTGCTGGCCTGTTATTGTTATTGTTATTGTTTTTGTTTTTGTTTTGGCCATAAAGTGGATTTGGCTTCAATGATGGAAATCTTGCGGAAAGGCGGAGGGCGGGGCAGGTTGGGAGATATGTCGGGCAGGCGGCTCAAGGTCACGGATGAAAGTGTATCGGTGTGAGTCAGTCAATTGGCATGCAAGTGCATTGGTGTTTGAATTTTGAAATTGAATGACTGAATGAAAAAGTGTTTGTTTCTTTTGTGCGGATTGTATTCCCGATTTTGATGGACAGGCGTGATTTAAAACCATTAATTTATTTCGCAGGGAGATTTCTGGCTCTCCTCTTCGCGATCGACAAACGAGACTTTAATGGCCGGTATACCTCATTATTTTTAGACGCCCTGCTTATTTCGAACTTACTGTAATAATTAACGGTTGCTTGTAATTGAGAGTTGATTTACTGACCCACTGTCCCAGCTGGCATTCAAATCCAAAGTCCGAAATAAAAAAAAAACTAAATCGCCGTGGAGTGAATTAATTTCAGATTTGTCAGATTGAAAGTCCGCTGCCAACTGAATGCCAAGGAAAAGCTTCAATATCCATCCAAGGGCAGTAATTGTGTGCAATGGATTGTTTCTTCGGCAGGAAAATTTATGGCAGCATAATTTACAATCTTGTTTTAAATGTGTTTAGTACTGAAATAATACCCCAAGTTCATAATTAAATTATAATAGAATCAAAATTGGGTCCAGAACACGTTCGTTATCCAAATGGTTTTAAATTAGATCACGTTCGATTAATGACTTGTTTGGATTAATAACTCAGTTAAATGGTTGAATGAACAAAAGACCTTAATCTATATTTATTTTATGGACACTTTATTTAATAAATCACTAAACTTTATTATAATGCTAATTGAACTTTAGATTTATTTCTTGTTGAAGTGGATACTTACATCAGTAATTTGAAAGACCATTATTTTTAATTGGGATTTTATTTTAAAACTAAGATATAAATAAATTTATTTATTTATTAAGAACAATAAAATCTGCAAGCCGGACATACATAAATTCTTATAAAATAATTTAATGATTTGAATAAAAATATAAATAAATAGATTGCGTCATTGGAAAATACATCTTAAAGTTTTATTTTATGAGCCGGATAACAAAATAACAAAATGCAATACATATTATATATTATTTTCACAAAAAAATTCACTTTAAAGCCGGATCCTTTTAGTATTCAAACATTTTGATTTCTCAGAAAAATAAATTTCAGTAGATCATTTAATGACTCAATCAAAAGTCTACAAGTTTTCATTTGTTTTATTTGCAATGCCCCAATAAAGTAATTGCAACTCGCCATTAAATAAATACTCCTGTCATTACGTTAAATTTCTGTGGCCTCAGCTCGACCCTTAATCAATCAAAGAGTCATATCGATAATGTCTATAATCTAATGGCCCTCACATTCTGAGCCAGATTGCAAAAGTGAGCAGCAACTGGAAGCGTTGCCAAACCGTTCAACTTTTTTAAACAAAATAATTATTAAAAGCGTAATTGCACCGCAAAACTGCCTGCAGTAGCAGTCGCTGAGCTTTGGCCAAAACAATTAAAGGCTGCAAAAAGTTAAATTAACAAATTATATGCTGGTGCAAAAAAAAAAAAAAAAAAACGAAACCAGCGGCAAAAACGCTGACAAAACGCCCCAAAGTCGCGCGACCTGCGAAAGATAAACAAACTGGTTGGGATTGCACTATTTTAGCCAGAGTTTCAGTTTTGGTCGCAACAATGCGATGACAAATGTCCAAGTGGCCAAAGAGCGGGGAGTGCAATAAACTCTTAGAAATTCCATGGAAATATAAACACAAACACAAACAGAAAACGCTCCAATTAGAGCTCGCTCGAATGTGTTTTGTGACTTTGGCAGAGTTTTTGGCTTTTGCATTGACTTTGTGATGGCTTTTTTATACCCTTGAAGAGGGTAGTTTTGGTTGTGTATGAAAACAAGAAGACAAGGTTCTTAAATAAACACTTTCAAGTAGCGTTGCAATCTGGATAAGATTTATAATTGATATAGTTTCACTATTTTAAAGATATTTTCGAAATGTTATTTTCAATTGTGCTCGTAAAGGGATTTAATGACTGCTTGTGTCGTTAAAAACTATTTTTGTTCCTATAATAATTATCAAAACAGTTTAAAACCTACCTATTATTAAGGGTAATTTGCTCTGACTCAAAGAAATGAGTGTCAAAAAAATGTTATAAATAGATATTCTAATGAATTAAATTGTGTAACTTGTAATAAAAAGAAAGAATACTTAAGCCTGCGTTTTCATTGTTTTTTGTCCGCACACTTATAGAAATTTCTGGTAAGGGTATACCTACCTTGCATTCCTTTAACTTTATTTGGCTATTGATAACATTACGCATACGACGTGTGGCCTCTCCCTTCTTTTGCCATTTTTGGCTTTGAGCCTGTCCGTCCCTCAACTCAACACAACTGAACTCAAATCAACTCGAATTCAGGCAACTCCACTTCGATTGTTAATGAATTGCAATCGTTGTGCGATATTTTCTGAGAGGTGGTTTGAGAATGCGAATGTTTGACAATTTGTCACAGGGTCCAGCACTTGTCTCGTCTCCGTCTGAGTCTGAATCTGAATCTAAATCGGAATCAGAGTCGGAATCTGAACCTGAGTGAATTGCGGGTGCGGGCCACGTTTGTCCATTTGTTACACATTTTATTTCGCCTTTTTGTTTGTTTTGTGTCATTTGTACGAGTACGACCATGCATTGTGTGTGTACTTAGTGGCAATTTATTTGCCATTACCTTTTGCCCGCAGTGTTCACTTCTGGTTTTAAATCAAGTTTATTAACCGGAATCTGTCAGTGGCCATTGTCCACCGTTCTCACCTCGCCGATCTGCCAGTTCCCTAGCCGTTTTTTTCAGGGCGTATCCATAACTATCGATTAGCATTCTAATTTATATACTAACTGCCCGAGAGTGTGAGTGCAGCACAAATTTAGTAACGCCAATGGGCATTCACGAGTTGGAGTGCGAATGCGAGTGTGATTATTCCAATATGATTTCAAGACCAAGTTGCGGTTGCTGCACTACCAAAGAAGGGAGATCAATAATTGCTCGATGATCTTAAATGTGTTCTAGAATAAGAATAATTTATTGGAGCTTGTGTTTGTATTCTTTTTTACTATATATAAATTGTATAATGCGTATGGATAAACATTTAATTATTTGTCAAAACTGGTAAATTCCCTAAGCTTTTAATAGTTCTTAATTTTATAATTGTGTGTTCACAAAACAACATAGTACAGTAACCACATTTAATACATACCAATTCCATTGCCATTTTCTGTTCTAAAGCCAGCCTATGAAGTCGAACCCATCATTAGTTTCTATAATTTTATTTAATTTATCTTCCAAATGACCAACAAAAAGTTTTAAAACCACAAAACTTGTTTGTCGGTGAAATATATTGTTTCCACGTAAATAGTTTATTGTGCTTATATAATGATATTTACTAAACAATAAGACAAAAGAGTATCTTAAGATTAACACTACTCTATATTACCAGAGCAGTTGTATTTGGCCTTAACCCAAGTGGTCGTCCGAGATACCTGCTCCCAGTCAAAGCTTGAACTAGAACATATTCCGATTCTAATTCCTATGACAATTATGGGTGCAGCTTAATAGTTATATTATGCTAGTTGTATTAAAGACACACTAACTGCGGATAATAAATGTGTGAACAAAACGCTGGACGTCAGAACTTTTACTTTCCGATGGGCTTTACAAAAGATCTTAAAGGCCAAGGAACTTACAAAGTAATCTAATGATGAACATATGCCAACAAGACGCTAGAAAAGAGAATAAAAGAAAATAGAATGACGTCAGGCAAAAGGGGGAAGCTGAATAAAGCTCAGAAAAGAGCAGAATAGAATAGAATAAAATATAATGGATGCCGGCTCGAATGGGAGGTTCTGGCATTTCCATATGACTTGGTCCAAGTTTTGGCTAATTAATGACCCCTCGCTTGGCCAAGAACGAAACTTTCGTTTTTAATGAGATGCCTGGCTGGCCACAAACATATTTGTTTTCCCCGCAGATTTCCTTAGTAATTAAATGCTGTCCATTGAACGCTGTCTGGGTAAGCTGGTAAAAAATATCTGGCGAGGGGCTGGCAGGCCATGAGTAATTATATGGCCTGTGAAGAAGGCTTGATAAGAATTAGAACTGGTTTCGGCTGCGTCTCTTTCTTTCTTTCGGCTTTTGTCTAGCTTTTGTATCTTTTGGCTCAAAAGAAATATGAATTTTTGCCTGGTTTGTTTTATGGATTTGACTTTGGCTCGGGTTTAATTACATGGTCTCTGAGTGGCGGAAATGCCTGAGTATGGTTAATTAAATTATGGCTGGCCAAATCAAACTCATCACCGTGGATATTCAGCCATCGATTGCAGCAACTACGGCCAAATCTTCTTCGTATCCACTTCAATGGCATGCCAATTGCTGGCAACAAAAAGCTATCAAAATACCTTGCCATTAATTATAAATATGTTGAAATTGCAACAGACGACTGAGCATCTGTCTGGGTTTTGGGCTTGGCTTTTGGCTCTCGGCTCTTTTGTGGCCAGACTCTGCAACTTGTTGGCCGCTTCTTGGAGTTGCTGGTGGTTAGTTGCTGTTGCCAACCTGTTGCCAATAACAAGTTCAATGATTCTTCTACACCCAAAAAAATCACCACAAGCCCTTAATCGTCTTTGAACTTGGCAAGTCAAACAAAATACAAGTTTATAACTTTTCTGACTCTTCTTAATACATAAATTTCATTTAAAGTCAGTTTTGTTTTTCATAATTTTAATTTGTCGAAATTATATTGGTTACCCCAAAATATGTCTCTTTAAAGAACTTTAGGAATTAATTTGTACTATGTATATTTCCCCAAGAAACTTAAGGCCTTAAAATTTTGTCTAAATAAAGAATTTTATTTACACAAAAATTAAGTTTATTTGTTAAGTGTATTCAGGTAACTGCGGAATCCGCCGAGACTTTTAAAATTAGCTGCAAGTGCCGCAGACTCTCTGCGATTTCTGGTGTGAAATGCACCTTGACATTTGGCGTGGATTTTTCCCATGGCTTATCGATTAAACGCAATGAATTTGTTTTCGCCTTGCGATTTGTTAAAAACGGCAGTCAGAGTGAAAAATATGTCTGGCAATCTTGGAAACATATCGACTATTTAATGCACTAATCACTGCTTCTTGTCTTTCCCAATTGCAGCCATTAACCAAATCCAGAATGATCGCAGAGCAGCTGGTGGTCAAAAGTGGCCAGGTGATTCACTGAGGAGCCCGAGGAAAGCGATATCCATTAAGCACTGAGAACAAAAGAAGCATTAAAGCGCTTGATTAACTGGTGGACAGGTGGATTTTAAAGCGGCAACGGAATGGCACACTTTGGCTGGCTCCTCAAATTCGGTTTTCTGCTGCTGGTAAGTGTCACATTAAGGCGCTGATTGCCTTCGTTATTTACTTATTTATGGCCAGGTGCTCGAAGAATTCCAGAGAAAACGCCGAGCTTTTGGCCAGCGCAACGCTTAAGTTCAAGGCTTAGTTTGGCCATTTAAGCCAAAAAATTAAACTAGTTTACGCTCCATTCAAAGCACTTCCAAATACGATTTGATTTTTGTTTTTAGGTATGTAATTCTCGAATTGTTTTGTCAGTATTTTAGAAAGTGAACAAAGCCATTGTTTATATTTTCAATGCTTATACTTTCTTCTGGTTTAAATTCTGGTATTTCAAACAAATGTGTATTACAATCTTGTTAGGCCAAAAGGTTTTTTTATTGAATAAATAATTTGCTACTGAAATTTTTGGAAATAAAAGTAAATAAAAAAATACCATTTTATTAAAATAATTTACGCCGCTTATACAAAAATTAGATCCAAATAAATGGTACACTTTAATTTTGAACAAAATTGTTTAAAGATTAGCTGATTGTTTCATCACCACCGAAAGTAATCAATCAATTTTTTACTGATCTTCAACTTGGAAAGTATTGTCTTCCTTCCACACGATTTCGATTTAACAATCAAACGAAATTGATTCAAATGGCACCAAGATAACGAAAAATAAAAACTTTTAGGTCCAAATGAGACTTCATTTTTATGGCCAGCAGTTCCCAGGCACAAAAATGCAGTTGCCAAATGCATTCACAGGCGGGGTGCTCCATTAACTTGGCCAATGCGTTTTGAAAAATGGTTTAATTGTGCGATCGTACTCCATTTGTTTGCCGACTTCGGTTTTATTAGCCCGAATCATCCACAATGCACCACTGACTGGCAAATGCATTTTGAATTAATTTTTACCACACAGCACACTCGTTTCTGTGTCTGGCCGGCACTTTATTGACTGCTCATTAGACAGACCGAGTTGATTGTGAGTAATGTGGAGTGGAGTAAAGCAAACTGAAGCCGAGTAAACTAAATAATTGCACGCGATTTAACTACAGTCTAGTTGCCTACTATACTCAGAAAAAATAATGGAAATCGCAATTAAATACAGCAAGTTGACAGAAGACTAAAAAGGCTCTATGTTGAAATCAGACAATCAATTTTAGATTATTATATCCATTATATATTTTAAAATTATTTGTTATCTTGAAATTTGTACTTTAAAATGTTGCTATAAATTCAAAATTGTCTGGTAGAACCCTAGAAAATATAGAAATATTTTATTTTTGAGCCATTTCGAAAGTTTTTTTTAATCGTTGCTATTTTTATTAGTGTTCGTGTGCAACTGGCTATTGAAATGCCTCTGTTTGGGGCTTAAACTCAAACTCATAGTCAGTCTTTTGGCCATTCAATGGCGATGACGACGGCAATTTGCAAATTATGCACAGCGGGGCAGGGAGTGGTTGGCGGCGTGCCCCGCCAGTGGTGCAACTACATTCTAAACTCTGATTTTCTTACGATTATAAACCATTATTAACCCACCGAGGCGCATCTGGGGCTTGCATTACACGAGTAATCATCAAATAAAAAGTCTTGTTTATGGCTTGGAGTATTTCCTAAATGTTCTGGGGCCAGCATGGGTTAATTTCCCACACAAATCTGTTTTCGGTTTGTGTCTCTGCCGTGTAATTAATAAATGTGTGTTATTGTGCCACAGCCCAAGTTGATAGCTGCAATTTGGATCGACTTCAGTACGAATTCGAGTCCGACTCTGATTCTGCCCCAACTTGTGGCATTGAATACGGCCCTAATGTGGGCTGTTCTTGACTGGAAGATCGATAGCTCGATAAGTACACCTGAGAAATTTGGGTAACCGTTCTAAAATGAATTCAAAAGGAAAAATTAACTCATTAAACATTTATAAAAAGTAATTCCAAAGTATTTTGTTCGTTATTGTAAGTTTAAATTAAGGAATTTTTGCTTTACCAATTTCAATGTGTTTGAAAAATAATATATAAATTTAAAATAATTTTAACACTGCAAATGAAGATTATTAATGTGTTCTTTTAATCCAAAAAGCTATCTATATTTTGTTGCTCAAACATAATCATTATTCTTAAAGAATAATTATTATTTTGTGGTTCAAAAATTCAACTTGGTATTTTGTGAGTTAACTCAAAATGTTTTCCTAATAAATATTTTAAATATAATTGCATCATTAAAATACAAAGACACAATAGCTTGAAAAGCCCATTGGTCATGCAGTTTTAAATGTACAATGGGATTTCTTGGGTTCATTCTGCCTCTCAGTATTTCTTGCAGTGCTTGAATCGCCGTTGGCGTTTTCTTGTAATATTGTGTACACAATGTGAGCCACAGCTGACGACAGCGGGTGGTGGCCAGCGAATGTCTGATGTCTGCTACCAGAGATTAGACTTTGGCCGGCACAGTTTAGGCTGGGTTTGTGGGGAAAATGGACCCGCTGACACATTCACTTGGCCACCGACTGCTTCGGCTGCAAGTTGCAGTTGCAGTTGCGGTGGCTGCTCCTTGGCAACCGCCCACTTCTAGCACAAACTGCCCGCGGACCCCACTCGAAATATGCAGAAATGCCTGAAATGGGGGGATTAGGATTACATGACTTTTTCCGCATTCGATATCATAGTTTGTGGCCTGAGTCATTGGCCCACCCGACGAATCCTGTTTATTCACTTATTTAGTACCCCCATATCAATCAAAATACTTCCGAAATTAGCATAACGCAAGAATGAATTCAATCTGTCAGCCAATACCGTTTGTTTAGTGTCAAGCGTAAAAACTGAAATCACGATGATTGTGGCTAATTAAAGCATCGGGCATCGGGTATTGAGCATCGAGTATCAAATGGCCTGTATCGGTATCGAATGGCAGCATCAGCGGCACTTGAAAGCCAATCGAGTGGGCCAAATGAGCCCAATAAAGAGAGTGCTCATTAAGGCGTGATTATTGCTTAATTGTTTGCAGGCTATTCACGCGCACACAAGGCGGATACGTGATATTCTGAAAGTTGCCTTTTTTTGACACTTCCGCTAAGTTGACAGGCCGTGAAAATTGTCGCCAATCTGCACAATCGAATGATAAATCGTCATACATACTACGCAAAGTGCTAAAGAATGTCGGTACAGGATTAGCTACCTGATAAATCAATCAAGATTAATAATTGCCTATCACTTGGGCTGGGTGAGGGAACTCAATTCCAATTGCCCAATTCATTCATTAAACTGGAGCACGTCACTGACCAGGCGTTTTGAATAACCCCTCCACAATGGAAAGGAATTCGCATTGTTGTGAATTCCGTTCGTTATTTTTAGAACGTTTTCATGTTTTTTATTCGCTTTGTCTTAGGGCGAAACTGAATCGTTTGGCCCTTTTGTAATTGTCACACGTTGATTTGGTGTCAATGCTAACTGTCGCTTTTCCATTCAACGCCCGCGGTCGGTTACTTCTGCAATTTTAGACATAAAAGGCAAGGCGACCCGACCCGCCGGATGACTAACCGATCTAGTAGTCTAGTAATATAGTAACTGGTAACTGGTCAGTCAGTTGGGTAAGGTAACTTTAGCACATGTGCGAAGGTGTTCGTTCACTGGGTGCAATCGCTCAAATCTGCTCTAGAAAAATGATCGGCGACAGGCGCCCACTGCACTGCCGGATGTTGTTATTGTTCTTGCTCGGGGGATATAAACACATTTTACTTATAAATTGAGTATATATAAACAGCTTGAATAATTATGCTATTATGTTCGCCGCAGCGATCGGTTTCCATTAATATTTGATTCAATTTTCGCCATTTTTCATTGTTTTCAATTTGCGCCTTTCCAATTCGCGTCAATGGATCAAAAGTGTTGGCTAGTAAATGATCTGCCTCATTGCAATTAGCAATGCTAATGTTAATGCCGATCGATAAATATCCATAAATATGTTTTATTGGCTCGATTTGATCTGTGGGGCATTTGGCAGGGCGAGTTCGTGCCCTAAGTCTTTTGTTTCTGCGGTGGGTGTGTGGCGCTGATAACAATTTATGGCCGATCTCTGGCCATGAATTCGCATTGGAGTGTTATGAACAGTGTTACGGTGGAGATATGGATGTAGATTAAAAAAAAGGTATATTTGTTTAAATTATTGATTCATTGAAAGGCAATAAAGTGTTGAATTACTTTAAAACGTTCTTAGAGAACTTGTATACATTATTAAGTCATGTTAACACCTTAAACAACGTAATTATTAAAAAATTAAATGAAAATTTCGAAATGGTTGTTAAGAATTTATAACAATTAAACATTAACGATCAAAGAATGAATGAGTATATTTATTTCACCTGAAAGTAAACATTACTCATTGAAAGGGAAAAAATCAAAATGCAACATGATTCTATTCAAAACTTATCCTTAAGTTAAGCCATAAAATTGACTTCCTTAAACCGAAACAGGTTGATAAATCGCGAGATGAGTCAGGAACATAAATATCTCGCTGACGCAGAATGACAGATTGACCGGCAGCGTTTAAGTAATGTTTCCATTTTCCACTCGAGCGGAGCGTGTTCCATTCGTCCATTGGGCAATCCATAATCCACACGGCTTGAACTGTTTGTTCGATTGGTGTTTTCGCTACCTTACGCCACCCACTTGAGCACTTGCAACGCGGTTAATTATGCCACATTCGCCACTTGACTAGGGACACTGGCAACATGCACCACTTCAAACGGAGCACCGCAGCATTCCTCTGATGTCTTAATAGACTCGCCGCATTATTATTCAAATGTTATCGAGTCGAGGTCCAGACCTCGTCCATTGCATGACTTATGCATATTTGCCCGCGACATGAAGACATATCTCAGCTCATGTGGATAGTAGATCGTCGATGGCCAATCGATACAAATGATATTTTAATTACGCAAATTTATAAATAGATCGCTGAGATAAGCTCTAAATGCGATCACCCCAGATTGCAGTTGCTTGCAGTTAGAATAAATGTTTTCAGTAGACTTCTATATAAAGTTATAAAGGGGAATTAAACTTGGTTTTCTTATTTACTTAAAGATTTAAAACACCCGAGCTTAAAAAAAATATTCTTATTTTTATGCTTTCATTTGTAAACATTTCATTAAACTTGTACTAACTTTTAATTTCTTTAAAGGCTAAATAAAATCTGATATAAAATATTCAAAAATATTAGTAATATTAGTCTAAGCCCTTTGATATCTTATTTCATATTAAATTATATTTATTTGCGGATTCTTTAAATACTACTTTATTTTCTATTTTAATGGTAAATTTGCCAGTGTCGATGGTCTAACCCCCAATTGCATTCGAATAAAATCTGATTCAGGGAAATGTCGAGCATAACTAACACTCCTTTATCTGTGTCATTTTCAGATGTTGTCCGGCTGCCGGACACGCCCCGCCCCTTTTCCGGGCGGACGGCAGAGTGAGCTCATCGCGGGCAACGAGTTCCTCAAGCTGTTCCTCGATCACGATGACCAGCAGAGAAGCCTCCACAGCAGCGAACAGGAATTCGAGGGCAGAGCGGAGTCCCCATCCTCATCGCCAAATCCTCGCCAGAGATCAGCAACCGGCAGAAGCTTGGATGTGGGCAGGAATCGCTATAGGAATTCCCTGAGTTCCGGAAACACTCACGACGAGGAGCAGCCCAACTCCAAACAGGTGGCCAAGCTGGTGACCTCCGGCAGTAAAATAGTGTTCCTCGAAGATGCCCCCAATGCAGTCAAGGGAAAGTCCAGCGATGAGGTCAAAGTGGTGGCCGTAAGTGTGAGTTCCTCCAGTAAAAGAGGTCCTTCGAAGAGCACTCCTTCCAGTGCCACAGGAAGTGCTTCAGACTTTGTGAACCGCTCCCATAAAAGTGAACTTTCCATCGAGGAAACGGAACCCAGATTGGCTGGCGATTCCACAGATGTTGAGGGAGATTCCCTGAATAGTGCCTCCAATATACAAAGTGTGCTGGCGGCTCCTTTACTGGCAGCTAACTCCGCACACTCCTTCTTGAAAAACCAAAGTGAGATTGATAGTGAGGAGACGGGAACGGGAACGGGAGCAGGAGCTGGATTACCATTTCAAACAGTGATTTATCATGACACCAAACAGGGCAGAGGACCGCAGTCAAGGTCAATATCCTACAGTTCCATCTCCCAAAATGTGGATGATTTGCAAGCCTGGCAGCAATCGAGAAGTGGCATTCTAGCGGAGGCCCAGAGAAATGTGAGTGAGAGCTTAAAACATGGGCACTCCTCGGAACCAGCCAAATTCTACTCCGTTCCCTCGAAAATGTACAGTGTGCCTAGCAAGTTTTACTCAGAACCAGCTAAGGTCTACTCCGAACCGGCCAAGATGTATGGACAGCCCGAAAAGGTTTACTCAGAGCCATCTAAAGTCTATGGCCAACCCTCGAAATTTTACTCAGAGCCAGCCAAAGTGTACTCGCAACCCTCGAAGGTTTATGGGGAGCCGGCAAAAACGTATTGGCCACAAACGTTGATCACCACAGCGGCAACACCCCTTGGGAGCACTAGTTCTGCCCCAGCTTCAACCACCAGCGGCAGTTCCACTGAGAAGCCACTGACGCCCACCACTTTTGTGCCACTTAGATCCCGACCACGACCCGCGATTGTCTCGCGCATCGCTTTTGGCGAGGCCCAGAGCACAACCACCACGACAGCAGCAACACCAAACAGCACGGCAGCAACATCGAGCAATTCGGCAGCAACATTGGCCAGCAGGGTCACCACAGTGAAGCCTCCCAGCACTGGCACTTCTGGGAGCATTCGGCCAACCACTTGGCAGCATCACTATCACAGCTACAACCACCACCAGCAGCAGCAGCAGCAGCAGCAACATCCACAACAAGCTCATCCAACGCGCCGAGTACTCTTCAATTTGGATAAATTGCCTTATGATTTATTGAATGCACCGCAGCCGCATCCATTGGATCCAATTTTATCGAAGCACTCAAGTCCGAGCAACTACCACCAGCAACATCACCAACAGCCGCATCAGCAACACGAACAGCAACAGCAACATCAGCGTCCGTGCTGGGAGCAACAACGTCAGCATTCATCACCGCCGCATCAACATTCTAATCAAAATGCCAAAGGATTGCCCAATAGAGGTGAGACCAAGTCGGAGTTTTGGATCTGAATCTGGTTAAACAAATTACACTGTGCAGCAGGGCGAGTGTTGCAATTGCATAAATTAAAGAGATCAATTTTCGGAACCCATTAAGTTTAATCGTATATCATTTATAACGACCTGCTTGCCTGAAAGTTTATGTTTCACTTAAGGAAGAGCCATCAAAATGATCAAAGTAAACAAGGGAAGAATAAAATTGTATTTTCATATCGATCAATTTTCTGAACCCAAAAATGTTAATAGTATATAATTTATTAGGACCTGCTTTGATCGAAAATTATGTTGGGAAAAAGCGATTTGAATTATTGAAGTACACGATGTCAGGAGTTAGGTGAGGGTGTAAAATCGCTACACACCTACCCAAAATTTAGATATTTGGATAAATTATCATAGACTATTGTTCGAATTAGTAGTAATATTTGAATGCTTTGTATTTTAAACTTTATATTTACTGTAACTTGTAGAAAATGGATAAATTAGAATATGGAGCTTTACAAAATTATTAAGCACAAGCTTGTCAAATCTTTGAGTTTTGCTTTGTTTTTGACACTCGCTAGTCTTTTAAAATTTGTTTACAACGTTTTGCAAAGTGCAGTTATGACAGACAGCGACAACGCACGGGTTTAACCACTTGAACCCCGGCCAACTAATCTTGAACTTATCAAACATCATCTTTTGTTGCATCTCCCCGTTGCAGATCTAGTCAAGTGTGTTTCCAAATTTGCACACCAACATAGAGCGGCAGCGGCATCGCTGGTGGACCCATCACCGCCATCACCTTCGGGGTCAGGCGGTGGCTATTCGTACAGCTCCAGCTCCACCAGCTCGTCCTCCTCATCCTCCAGTTCATCGGCAGCAAAGCAGCAGCAGCAGCAGCAGCAACAGCAAATTCAACATTTTACCACCGAGCGCCCCGAGCTGTATACTCCAACCTCAGAGCAGAATTACGAAATTGAAGAGTCCGTTAGTGTTATGACAAACGGACGAGCCCATGGATTGCAGGGCGGTGCAGGTGGTGCAGGGAGTGCTGCTGCTGCTGGTGGTAGTGGTGCAGTGGTTCAGGCCACAACGCCAGCCAGTCCACTCGTCCAATCGAGCACCTCAGCCAGCAGTCGTGGCATCAACAGAGGACGTGGCTCAGTGGTTTACAATGCAAATGCCAACGATTATTCGGACGACGATGGGGATACGACGGGAGGGGAGGCAGGTGACTCGGGATCGGAGGGCCCCGAAACCCCCGACGACGAAGACAAAGTCGCCTATGTGGTCGAGGGACGCAACTACCGAAAGTACCGCGTGGAGGAGAAGACCGACGACGGCTTCATCGTCGGCGAGTACGGAGTGGTGGACCACAACGATGGAAACTTGTGGGGAGTGCGTTACACCGCCGACTCCACCATCAATCGCAGTCTGATACAGAAGGCGTTGCTCACGTTTCTCAAGCTCAAGTAGGGGCCAAACGGTCATCTTCCACTCGGAAAAACCATTGAACTAAAGTTGCAAAAGACGTACCCAGAGAAATAATTGGAAACTACAGGGAACTTTGTGTCAGATGGGAAGCACATTAAAAAAAGTGAAAGAGCTTAGGAGGGCAGAACTTTCAGTACACATGGAATTTTTAAAACTTAACTTATAGAAACGAAAACAGTGATATAAGATATGACATATGTAGAATATATGTTAGAGAAATACTTTATTACTTTTAATTTAAAAAATTTACAATTTTCTTTTTCTCAAAACTTTGGTCGTACTATATATATAAACTTTTAATTAAAGACTAAAAGCATAAAGATAATAAATAGTTAATATAATGAATAGCAGCGTACGTACTACTGTAAAAATACTCAAAAAAATTATAGAAAATCGTTGGGGATATTTGAAATCACAAAATATTTCTTGGAACCTTAATTAAAGTAAATTTTAAAATATTAAAAATATCCCATTATTATAGTGATTTTCTTAAGTGCAGAGCAATGGTTTTTCCGAGTGTTTTTCCACCAGCACCCCGCACTTCCCCACTGAAGAGACAGCTGCAAAGGCACTCACATGTGATCCAAGTCGTATTGTAGTTAGCCTAGATAACCTAAACCTAGGTAGATAAACCTAATTAGACGTACTACCCTAGCATGTAGCCACTAGTTGAGTTCCCACGAGATCAGGACACACACTCACGGGCCCTGTGTGTGTGTGGATGTGTGTGTGTTTAGTCAGTAAACGAATTTTGTTTTAATGTTTAGTTAATGTTTTAATTAATTTATTGTAGTTGTTGGTATTGTAATTGTAATTGTAGCCGTAACTCTAATTCGAGCCTAATTTATTCAGCCGACCATTCAGCACTCGAAATTCCACAGATCTAGCAAACTTGCCATAAAATCCGATGCGGGAAATCCGAAGTAGCCGAGCACCTAACCTAACCAGCATTAAGAACGAGCAAAAAACTATCCTAATTAGAGCCTAAGTGACTTGCGCAGTGAAATAAACTAAATTACACCGAGAGTAAATCGTAGTTGTGCATTAATCATTAATCTCGCAGCGGGCGGGGAACGGATGTGATCGGAAAAACGGGTTGTCCTGGGGGCTCTGCTCCGCCGATCCGCAAAGTAAATAGCCACTTAAAATTGATTAAAAACTAGCAGCCTGCGGCGCAGCGAAGGAGAGTCGTTCTTCTGGACAATATCATTAAAATTTAATTGATATGAACAAGTGACAAAGCAGCAGCAGGACAGCTGACGCCAAGGAATTGCTGTTCGGAGGGTTGATTGCTCTGCTATACACACTGAAAAATATGTAGATCATTTTACTTTAAATTGAATTATGGCCGAAAATGAGGTTGAATTTGAGTCCTCTTACCAATTGAGCATGGTTTTATCATTTATTTTATTAGATAAAAGATATTTGCTTGGACTAAGAATAAGCTTGGCAGTTAAATGAAGTATAATAATAATTTATGTTTCGTTTTAAATTAAATAAATTGCATAGAGAAACCTAGTCTTAGGTACTTAAATAATTTTTCTACACTTTTTTTTGAGTATAGAACTTGAAATGAAATAAAGAGACCCTTACCTGCAAACTAATTTTTCTAAAATTTATTTCTGAACAGAACGTTATATTTTTTGCAACTAATTTTATAAAGTTGAACATTGATAATTTTGAAATGGGGTTTCCTTATAAAAATTGCTAAAATTAATACAGAATAATAGAGGATTAAATCAATATCTTTAGTTCTCCCAAACCCATTTTAAATATAAACTTCTGCCATAACTTTATGGGTATAGAAAAGTATTATAGATTTAATAGAATTTTAAAAAATATATCTTAAAATTATAGTCGATATTGCCCCTCATTTTTTCCAAGTGCCAGGATCAAAAAGATAAGCAGTGACAAGAGCTCTTCTGCTTTGGGATATAATGATAATGACTTGGCAGCTTAAACCTGCTGGGCTATTACTCTTCCGAGTGAAACGCGGAAGCTGAAAAGACCACGAGAAGTGGAATCGGAGATCTGAGATCTGAGACAATCGGTGGCCAAGGAACCTGTGACAAAGTCAAGGCGGCAGTTTAGGGCCTTTATAGAGCCACATTTGGCCAATTAAGAGCAGCATTTCCATAAACGTCCAGCGGTTGTTTACTGATCTGCCCCAAGAAATCAAGACCGTAAATGCGGCACTCAACGGGAAACCGACTGGATGGGCAATTGGATGCGAAGGTCGCTGAACGACCTTGCTTGCGGTCGCCTTCTTTCCACTGGGATGCCTCCTCTTCGAAAGCAGCAGCTTCTTCGGCGTCTGCGTGTCGTCATTTGGCTGGTTTTATTGCCCCTCGGAGACTGGCTATATCGCTATACCGACTGGAGAGTGGCCGGTAAAATTTCCACTAATGATTGCATGGGCCAGTGCCAGGTTGCAGTTTCAGATTCAGATTCAGTTTCAGGCCCAGTCCAAGTCCCCGGCTATTTTTAGATATGTAAGACAATCGGAGTTCAGGCTTTGGTATGCTGTCTTATCGCAAACCGGCAATCAGACCAAGTTCGAGTCGGGGGGACTTGGATTCTGACCCGGCTGCATCGGCGACGCGATCTGCGTGAAGAAATACAGCACATGACCATAAAAATCACGAAGGGAACCAGAGCATCCGGCACCGACACTTAGAATACTCTTGGAAATCAGTTTTATGCTGTTAAATACTTAAAAAATAAAAACTTTATAATATAACAGGGAGTAAATTTCTATAAAAGTATTAACTTTATGGGAAAAAAATATTTCAGCTTATTGGTTGCTAAAAAAGAAATTTTATATTGTACTTTTTAAAATACTCTTTTATTTAAAGTTTTTGTTAATCATCGAATACATTGAAAAAGGAATTCTTTAAATGCATAAATTGAAGTGAAAAACTCGAGTTCATAGTTGGTTATAAATAACATAACGTTTTTGGATTACTTTCATCACAGTCGCTAAATAAAAGTCGTTAAAAAACAGTGTAAATCAAGATTAACGTTAGGAAATTAACGTTTCGTTAAGTTTACATTTAAAATGATGCTTAATTTTATAATATGTTTCAAAAGCATTACCTTTTTAAGTGCCGTACCGTATAAACTGTCTTTAAACAATTACGATACCCCTATTCAAGGGTATGGAAAAAGAGAATGTGCCTGGCCAGCCTGCAGATTTAATGCGAAATGCCAGAGAGGCAGAGACAAAAGTGCTGGGGATGGGGATGTGATGGGATGTGATGGGATGGGTTTGGAGCCATATACATAGATGGGGACTCAGCCGTGCCCTTTCTGCGGTCAGCTGCCAGATGGACATTTTCGAGAGGAGGAGTAGGCTTTCGAGATGGAGATGAAGTTGGGTCGGGAACTGGTTATACCGTTGCGAACCGCTTCGCTTAAGTGCGGCAATTACGGGACGAAACAGTTTTCCTCGCTTTTAGCAGGAGTGAAAGAACTTAACTGAAATAAAGCATGATGAATACCAAGCAAACTCGTTGCCATTCCATCGCTGCACAGAAAAAATCGATTATTTTTAGTTCGAAACTACCGAAGTAACTTTGCAGAGATAAATTTTTTAATAATTTGTTATGATCTTGGGATAGAGATTATATTTATATGATCTTAAGGGTTAAATACTTTTAGATATATTAATTTTATATGTTAATATAGTTTAAGGTTTTTAAATTAAAAAAATTCAAAATTAAAATAATAATAATAATATTATAACAAATTAACTAATAATTAATTAATACACCGAGTTTGATTTCTAAAATTCATTGATTTATGGAATTTGTATCATAATTTTTGGGTAAGGTAAACATAAGGTTAAGTCAAATAAAATTTATACGAAAAAGAAAACCGGAATTACTTGAACTTCGTGCTTATATTCAATAAATTGTAAATGTAAAAATATGTTTCACCTTTATCTTGATGTTGTTTTTCGGTGTGTAGTTCTCGCCTTCGGGGGCGTAGAATTGCGTGTCGACAATAAATTTGAAAACTACACGACCGCCGATCGTTATGACAGGTTGAACGTTGCCACGCCCCCGCCCCCATGTCCTGGTTAGTGGCTTTTTAATGTGGAGGGCGTGTCCCCGAAATGGTCATTCTGACAGCTTTCGAGGAGACCGTCCATTGGCTTCATTAAAGCCTCCCAATATCGAACTGCATCCGCATCCACTTGGCAAGTCCAGCTTCCTTTTACTTTTGCCTTGAGCTGCTGGCAAATTGTTCCCCCATTGATCTGGCTTACAAGAATCTGCACTTTTGTCTAGCACAGCGAGTCCTGTTAATTAATTCGAGCCCGGGAACCAGAGAAGATTGCCCCTTAATGAAGTCGCCCCCATGCGGAATGCTGGTGAGCCAGTGAACAGTGAACATGCATGTTTTTCACAATTTACGAGCCATTTTATTCAATATTCGGAGTCCAGTCGAGGGGTTGATCGATCGCGGCTCGGAAATTTATGACATGGCATTATAATTGACCGATTTGTCATTATAATTAGCGTGTACACAGCCCAGACACAGCAGATCGAAGAGCCTAATTTATGCATATTGGGGAGATTATTTTTACAGAGGACGTTGTGGTGATAAAACATGAAACAATGTTGCAACGAGCGGAAGGCATAAGTCATAGTCAGTACTTCAGTTTATTATGTTTCCATTAAAAAGAACGACACTATAAATTTACAAATTTCGAAGGACTCTTTAGGGGCTTTTAACATTTCATATTTGTAACGAAAGGACTCTTTTTAGATGTTAGCAATTAGAGCCTAGTTTGAGTGAAATCAAACGGATATGGCTAGATTGACTCAACTGGTTATACTGATTAAGAAATTATAATCTACATAGAGTATAAAAGTGTTTAAATATCTAATTATTTTACATTACATCTTACATTTTAATTTTGTGTACGTACATTTATCTACACGGTCTGAATTCTATAATTGTGGCAGCACTGCCAAAAAAAAATACCTGAAAGTATGCAACACTTTATTAATCATATTTGTGAGTATAGTAAAAATTATTAAAGAATATCCGTTCTTTTTTGTATAAAATTACGTGTTTATTAAATTATTTAATAAACATCATCATCAATTTAATATATATTTAACATATTTTCCATTCCAAATACCTAAATTAATGTCAAGTGTAAAGTATATTCAGATTCAGTAACAATCTAATAATAACAAATGTTCCATAGTCATGGTCTTTTAAAACAATTCTCGCCCGAAAGGTAATTTAGATCACTTCCCTAACCACTTGAAGATATTTAAATCAAAGTAAAATCCTTAACCAGAAACAGGGTAAGCAAAACGCCCACAAAAAAAAAAGTGCAACACCGGAAAGACAGATTAAAATTACCAAAAGTCATGAATCAAACTGAGAAGTTAATTCAACAGCTTGGACAAAAAAATGGAGAAGGAGTGCCTCGAACCCGGGTCAGATGTTCAAACAATAAAGAATGCAAATCATTGCATTGCCCATGTCCTGCAAGTCCTGCAGCCTGCAATCGATTTGGAGCACGACTAATTGTCTGTCGGCAATTAGCAGGAAAAGTATTCCGCACTCAACACTTTACTAATCTGCAAGTGTCAAGCGGTCGCAAATGATGGCGGTGACAAAAGGAGTTGACAGGCAGGACATTCGGGGCAGGATAACAGGCACGGGTGCGGGTTTCGGAGGGGTTGAAGTGTGCGTTCCGACTAAAAAAGAACCGAGGCAGCCGCACCGGCAGCATCGACCTCGAAATTCCCCTGAACTGCAAGGGTTGCTTCTTCGCCACACTCAAGAAATGACGGTCGAAAATTTTTACTCTTTTTAGCAATAATATTTTAGATTAACACAAATACGAAAAAATCAAAAGCGTTATATAAAACACTCATACGTTTGAAAATTTTTCTTAAGTATTCAAAATAATATTAGAAATAGCTGGTAATTAATTTTGTAAGAAAACATATAGATACAAATTAAATACTAATAATACTAATTTTAAAT